AGACTCCAGTGATTTCAAACACCATAGTAGTCAAGGTCTGCTCTTGGCCACATTTAACACTGCTGTGGAAACAGTGGTTGTAAAATCTTCCTTTAAACTCCAACACTAATGCATTTCTTAATGACAGACTGAAAAAAAACCAACAGGAAAAAAAGGCTGGTAAGTGCCCATACTCTCAGTAGCATTAAAGCACTGTATATAATGATACTTTTTGCCAAGTTTGGCCATCTAAACCATGCACTGCTACTGCTCTTCCCTCTCAACACCAACTGCATACAGAGCACGTTACCTTTGGTGACACTGTCGGGTAGAAATTTTGTTGAAACTTGGGATCTGGGATTTTCAGAGAGGACAACAGGGAATAAACTGCCATTAACAAGAGACTTTTTGGTATGTGCTGTTTCTCACCAAGCTTTGCCTTGAGGAGGAGCTTCCTTGAAAGAAAACCACCCTGCAAAAGGTGTTACTGCTCCTCTTGATGTGTCTTTTGCGTTATTCAATGTAAATTTGATGCTGAACAGGAAAGATCCTCAGAGACACCACCTCCTACGAACTCCTGGCCACAAAGCTTTCTCCAAGAAGGACCACCTGATGTGATGAAAGGAGCAGTGCTGTTTGTTTTCTTCTATGCATACAATGGTGAGATTGAATATTTGGCTCTGGTGCACAAGTAAATAGCCTGGACATTCAATTACTGCAGCACACTGACCTGGAAAGCAACAGGAGTTCTTCTCCTTGCTAGTGCAATCAACGTAATAATAAAAAGCACTGGAAAGGAGCAGGGAAGCAGCAGACAAGGGTTGGGAAGTTACAGTGGATTGGCCTCTTTGCATCACCAAATGCTTCTGGAGTGATCAAAAAACCAGCAACAGAGCTGCAACACCCTCCTCAGCCCCCAGACCACTGCTGTACCTGGCTCACAGCCTTCCTTCCAGGAAAAACCTCTTGGATTCACACAATGCTTCACAAGCTTGCCAACTGTCAGGAGCAAGGAAGAGAAGCTTGCTCTTAGAACCATGATGGGCATGTTCCTCAGCTGGCCTAACCAGGCACTCGGATGGACAGATTCACCTGGGGGTTGTGGGGCTCCAAAGCTTGTGCAAAGCAAGAGCCAAACCTTTCTCTGCCAGCTAGGTGGTGTCTGCAGTTCAGGCAGAGCCTGGGCAGCAGCTGAGCTGCCACACGAGCTGTGCTGAAGGCTTCTGTAGGCAACGCAGGAAAAAATGAGGCTTCTCTGAGCTCCAAGGTCAAAGTGACATCCCATTAGAGAGTCTGGGGCTTCAGGGGCTCCCAGCAGAGATGAAACCACAGCTTTCCAATGTCCATGCAGAAATCAAAATGAAACAAACTTTTTCTTTTTTCTTTCTTTTTTTTTTTTTTTTGAAAACAACTACTTGGGTGAGCAATGATTTTATTGTGTTATTAATATGATCATAAACAAGAACAACGTGTGTTTATAGGCTCAAGTGCTTCATTACTCACTTGCTGACTTGGTGAAAATCACCGTGGCATCAGTGTAAAGTGCAGAATAGAACAGACCATTGGAGTCATGTTGTAAAATCATTGGGGCAGGTGACCTTTGAACAAAGGCAATTGATAGCTCCAAGGAAGCTGTACAACAACAGTAAAGATAATAGTTGTCCACAAGCCACCAGACCTGCAGGAGAGCAAATGCACACCATGGCTGGGAAGGGGAGGGAGCACCAAAGGGACTGAGGAAGGTTTGGGAAGAAGAAGTAAGAGCTGATGTCTGAAGTGCTTCTGTGAATCAGTGTTAGGGGGTGGGGCAGGGAGGGGTGACCTGGCCTGAAGAGGTCACAGTGGTGCTGTTAGCACAGCCTGGACAGGGTCCCACCCAAGGCAGCTCATGCCTGGTTGGAGTCAGGTGGGACAGGACAGTGGGTGCCACATGGGAAGCACATAACCTCCAAATCACTTCAGAGTCTGGTTCTTCCAGACCTTGGTTTTGGGCCCTATCTCCACCATTACCGTCACTTCAACCATCCAAACTCCTGCAAGCATGGTGGGCTGAGCTGGGCCGTGCAACCAGGTGCCTGGAGGCTGTAGGAGCAGGACTGAGGATGTAGAGTGAGCTGGGAGGACCCAAATTTTCCTGTGCTTTTTTTTCATACCTATCAGGTGCTCCTCTTTGCCATGTAATGAGGGGTGCAAAGGGATGTGGGACCACTAGGGAAGGTCTTCAGGTGGCAAGTTGGGAAGGTAATGGCTGGATGGTGCATGGGTCCTTCTGGGTGGGGCTGCTCCAGGGCTGGAACCAGCACAGGGTGATCCTCCTGAGGTGCTGGCTCCTTGGAGGGTGCAAGAACCAGAGGAAAGGAATCCCTCCTCTTCCACAGGGCCGGGCAGACGATGCTGTCTCTGCCATCGGGGCTGACCAGGAGACAGAAGCCTGTGGGGATGGCTCCTGCCTTGGGGATGGCAGCGACAGGTTAGAGGAGACCCCCGAGAAGTGGCTGATGTGTGGTGGCTGATGGTGTCCAGTGAGTGCAGAGAGCAGGCAGGAAGGAAACACTACACCCCTCCTGGTTGTTTCACTTCTTGTCCCTCTGCCTCGTTTCGTCAGCCACCAGCCCCCGGAGCATCCCGACGCCCGGTCGACAGTTACCAACAGGCAATAAATAAAACCTCTGGAGCCACTGGTGTCAACATCTTGGCATTGTTTGGATCTCCTTGTTTGCCTTTAAAATAACTCTCCCCCTCGGGGTCACGCCGATGAAGCAGTGAGGACCCCCCGCCATCGGCCCTAGAAAGCTTCTTGCCATGGCTTGTTTTGAGCTGCCTTCTCTTTTTCTTTTTTTTGCCTTCAAAGCTCGGGGTTTGGGGAGCTGCCCAGGAGTGTTCCTCAGCTACGCCCAAGGCTCCTGCTCCCTCCTGCCTGCCCGTGTCCCAACACGTCACCTCGGGCGCCTGCAGGTCGCCGGAGCCCGGGCCACATCACCCGCTCTGCCTGGCTCCAGAGCCACGTTTTGGGCTGGGCTTGGGGACGTTGTCACCCATCACCCCTTTTCCTGCCTCCCAGAGGCAGTTCGTGTTGGGTTTGGGAACGGTGTCACCCCGGCAGCCCTGTGCTGCTGGCTTATCTGCTGCGTGCCTGCGCCCGGCTCTGCGGCGGATGTTGGCAAGCCAGGGAGTGGAAAAACAAACGGTGGAGACGTGGCTCCGTGGGGAGAGCCCAGCCAGGCAAACACCCTGTGCCACCTCCCAGCCCAGCCCCGGGGGGATGACCCTCCGTGACAGCCCCCGCCTGGCACCCGAGCCTGGCATGGTGCAACCTGCTGCTGAAGCTCTGGAGACAGGAGAATACTCCTCCAAAGAGAGTTTTCATCCATGGACTTTGATAAAAGAGGGGCTTGAGCCCCCCATGCCCGCACAGGGCTGTGTAGAGGGACCAGCTGAGCCATGGCAGAGTTGGAGGGGGACCCATATTTCCCACTACCTAGAGCATCTCCTTTCCTCCAGCAAGGGCTTCATGATGGAAAGCATCTCCATCACAGCCGAGTCGTGACTTGATGTCAGATTCACTCTCCCTCATCATCTTTAGCCTGTTGTTTATAATAAAAATCAAGCGATCCATCTCTTCTGACAAGAGGAAGAGTTGCTCCAGGAAGCCCTGGACAGGTCAACTTCTATATTAAGGAACTATTACTTGACAGCTTCCTGGCCATAAATAGCCACCCAGCCAGGCTGGGGATTTTATTTAGAAATAGCAAATAAAGCAGGCCATAGATGTAACTTCACGACCTTGCTCCCCCTTCATTTCTCACCCATCTCCCCTCCTTGGTGTGGTCTTCTCCTCACCCCAGGACTCCTCAGGAGCAGCAGGGTCCCCTTGCATTCCCTCAGCAGGTTATGTCTCCCCATTGGGCACCTCTCCAGCTCCAAGTAGCTGTAGAAATGCACTGTTGCCAGATTTTGGAAGTGTGATGTGGGTTTTGCATCACTGATGATCTTCTGCTACTACTCAGCTCCAAGAAATTATTTTCTACCTGCCTTTCATTAAAACAATTAAAAAGGAATCTCTGCCCTGCATGGCTAAAAGCTGGAAGTCCTCCATTCAAAACATCAACCTGGATGCAAACAAACAGACCCCAACCCCCCCCTTTATTTTTCAATCTCTCAAGCCTTTCTCTTAAATTCTGGAGGCCTAACTTCTGATTTTTCTAATGCTCAGAGTTGCCTAAATCAAAATGCAATCAGGAAATACAAAAGAAAAAAATGGCATTTCAGTATTCTTTTATTATTGGGAGGCTTTGACCATTTTTGTCATGTGGTTTGCCTAGAATAATAATAAAAAAATCTTTGTTTGGAGCTGGAAAGGGAAGAGCAGCATGTTTATTTCATGTGTGACTCAGTGTTGATACGCTACACGCTTCAGAAGCTAACACTCTATAGAGATGATTGTTTTTAATATAAAACAGTAAATGTTTAAAACAACCGTTTGGGGCTGGTTTTTTTTTTTTCCTCTTTTCTTCCTGTTGTGGCCAATAAAACATGAGGGAGGCCGCACAGTTTACATTTTAATAAAATTAAGTTATTTGGTGCCACGTTATTACAGTCTTTATTGGAAAGTGGAATAAATTGCACACAGAGGAGTCATAGGAGGGAGAAATCACTGCGAATAAACATAGATTCTGGGATGCATTTATTTGCTGCTTTCATCTCAAAGGAGGAAGGCTTTCCCCAGGAAAACGGAGGTGGTCCCAGGGCTCCAGCCTCAGGGAGGCAAACCTGGGTCGCTCTGGCTGAGGATGAGGGGTTTTTTTTTGGGGAGCCAGTGCCACGGCGGGACCATCTCAGCCCCATCCAGCCAGCGTTTTCGAGGCACATCCTCCAGGAGAAGCCTGTCCTGTGGCCGTGGCTCCAGAGCCCACGGTCCCAAAGCACCGGGGCAGCCTGTCCTGCCCCTCGTCCCTTTGCAGGGCCAGCTGAAAACGTTGGTCCCCAGGCATTTTGCTGGAGGTTGGGGTTTTTTGATTTCTTTTTAGGCGAGTGCTAGGGCACACCAGGAGTCCTGCCGGAGGGGCACGCTCAGCCCAGGCTGGGGGGTCATGCTGGGGGGGGAGAAGGTGTAGTCCTCGGGCTCAAATTTGAACTCGCCGTGGCCGCCGGCCAGCGCCTCGTCCGACTGGCTCTGCGCCTGCCCCGGGGAGGGAAGCAGAAAGTCATGAGAAAGGCTGGTATTAGCTAGAAAATCCCTTTTCCCTTTGCCATGAGGATGATGATAGGACTAGGATGGATTATGAAGAGGGTGGGTTATTCCTGATCCTACTGCTCCCCTCCAGAGGAGCCTGGAGCTGGGCAGGATGGGTGCCCCATTCCCAGCAAGCACAAGGACCAAGCAGAGAGGAGGCACCCCGGTGCCCATCTGTATTTATTTATTGACTAAACATGTCCAGTTTGGAGATCTCTAGGTGCTCATATATTTTTTAAGAGTGCAGCAGAAATCAGATTTATTAGTTTCAGCAAAAAAAAAAAAAACCCAAACCTCTCCCATATGGCTCAAGTGGCACCGTGCCAAGGACCTGGGTGCTGGAGCTGAGCTTCCCCTCCATGCACACATGTCCAGCTCGGGGAGGGCTTAGACCCAACATAAAGATAGCACTGGGTCACAAGATTTTGATGCACGTGTTGATTTAGAGCCATTTCTTCCTCTGCCAAGACAAAATAGCAACTCGCCCCAAAGAAATCCTTGGGGCAGAAGCAGAGCCTTGCAATCTGCAGCCTCTGACAGCATTACAGCTCTGTGAGCACTGAGCACCTCCGGGCAGATAACATGTGCCCCAGGAGCCTTCTCTTGGGAGCCACAGAGGTTTCCACCCTAGGCTGTTCCCACCAACTCGACAGGGTTGTAACTACCAGGATTTCAAGGCAGGAGATGGGAATTAAACCCAGCTCTGCACTGAAGCCAGCAGGGCTTGGACCTCCCAGTTCTTCACTGGAGGATCTGCTGGGGAGCCCACAGGCTGGAATCCTTCCTGGTCCACCATGTCTTGGCTCACACTCCCTGCTTTCCACAGCCTGAGCCAGGCCATCAAGCTGGTAGTCCCCAGTGCAATGAGCTGATTTCTTAACCTCATCAAGACCTCTCAGGTCAGCAGCTACCAAGGTGTGTGGAGCACCCACCCCAGCAGGAGGTGGCTGCAGGTCCCTGTGCCTTACCTGGGACACTGACACGATGGTTTGTCCGGGATACTGCGAGGTGGTGCTGGGCTCTGACTTTAAAGTGACCGTGCTGTCTGAGTTCGTGATGGAAGAAGGGGAGTTAGTGGCCGAAGTTGTAGACCCTGGAAGAAAATTGGTACAGGATGGTGAAGCAACATCAGTGCAAATCTGCTCTCAAGGAAGTTGTTATTTCGATGCCTACCATCCCTTCTCATGGCATGACTCTACAGTTTGCTTTCTCTACCTCAACTCTGTCATGTTTTGTGTTTGTCAGCCAGGATGCTGATGGAGGAGAACCCTCCCACAGCCTGGCAGTGCTGGTCCTAGTGCAGGATGGATGGGCTAACATCAAATGCATCACAATAACTTCCCCTCAGCTCTTTAATACACCATTCCCATTCCCAGAACTGATTTTTCCCATTACTCCATTTAGCCCAGATCTGCTTGAACATGAGCACTGCTGGGCTAGAGCTGGGTGCCCACAGTGCAGAGGAACCTCACAGGAATATTCTTGCAGTGAGATTTCTCACCCAGCATCCTCCTTCTATGCGATCTCTATGCATAAATACAGACTCTACATCTAAACCAACCATCAGGGAAAAAATTCACAATATTCTTTTCTCATTATCCTAATTCCTTGCAGATGACACGTTGAGGTGAATTGTGCTCCAAGCCCTCGTGACAGATCATAGCAGCACTGTACCTGTTGAGGTTTTGCCTTTGGTGATGTTTTTAGGCTTCCTTTTCCTCGTCTGGATGCTTTCCTTTTTCATGGCCAAAGGTCGTGGTACCTTGACATTCATAAAGTTTGGAATCATTAATATTGTATTTCACTTAGCTCCTTCCCACACACGTGTTTCTCTCCTATTTATGTGCTGTAGCTCATGAAAAGCACCTAAAGTCCTTGTCCTTCACAAAGTGCTATTTTTCTCTGCAGCAGGCCTTGGCTGGAAGATGTATAAGGCTAACAGCTAAGGTTTTCCCACAAATTTTGTTTTTTCCTCTATTTCCTATTTTCCTTTTCCTGATTTATTAGTGACCTTTATGACAGGGCCCTATTAAATTACACTGACAGACTGAGAGCCTACATGGCTCAGAGGGAATGGTCATGGGATAAAGGGACTTTAACCTTTATGGCAGAAGTTTGACGAGGCCTGTGTGGAGTCACCTCTTTGGCTGAGGGACATGTCACCAACAGTTCTCATCCTCTGTGGATAAATGTTATCAGCCAGCCTCCATGTGCACTCCTTAGCATCCTTCACACATTCTTCATTACCACATCCAGAAGAGATATGCTCCTTATCTCCAATCTGAGTTTGAGGAGCTTCAGTCTCCAGCTACTGGAGCCTGGTAAGCTTTCTTTTTGGGGAGTAAATTGGCAAATAACCTAACTAAGAGCTATCCAGTGCCAGAAAACTCTCCTCTATGCAGGTACCTCCTGAGATTCTTCCAGAACTCCCTTAGCCTTATTCTGGAAAACCTCACTAGACTGAGCTTTTAACTGCTCAAGCAGACAGGGCTGGGTGATGGCTCTTTTGGATTCAGTCTAGAGGCTGGTCCTTCAAGACCTGGTATCCTGGACCTGCTGGGTGGTGATCCCAGTGCCCAAAGGGTTCATCCTGATGTGGAGATGATCCTCACCCCATGGAGCTTCATGTACAAGCCACAGGCGTTGCAGACGGGCTCCCCTTCGGCGTTCCTTCTCCAGAGGGTGGTGTTGGTTGTGTGGCAGTTAGTGCAACATAGGCCAGCACGTCTAGATGAAGACTTAAAAACAAGCAAACAAACACGTGAGTGCACACGTAGGAATGATTAATTTGGAAGTTTCCTTTCATGTAAAAATAAAATCTCCAGTTACACCGATTTCCTGGAAAATGGGAACCACACACACACAGACACACAATAGCCAAATTTGGATCAAAGAAATTGCATTCAAATGAGATCACTCTAATTTGCAAGTGATTTTTTTATGGGGCTTGATATCCTGGCAAATATCCTTGCAGCTCATTTCACAAACTTCCAACAAATCTGCTGGAAGTGATCAGGACTCAGACCACAGAGAACTTTCCTCTGGGAGACCTACTCAGATGGTCAAAGAGATGGAAAATGCCAGCCAGGCTTTAAAGAAGAAAACTTTTCATTAGTCAAGTGAACTCTTCTGGTTTTCTGCATCCAGAACCACCACTAAAGTTAGCAGCATCCCAATTAATCTCTGCCTTAAGACAACTGGAATCTGAGCAGAATCGAGCTGAACTGGCCCATGATGGGACCAGGGTTGCTGTTCTTTGCATGTCTCACAGGCCATCTGTTCTCTTACAGCCTGCAGGAACACCGTGCAAACATTAATTAATTACATATTTTGTGAGTGCAGTGATGGCTGGCTCTGAAATGTTCAGACTTCCAAATGGAGAAGGAAAATATTCTGGCAGAAGCAGCAAACTCCTTTCTGACCACTGTACTCTGAGCCACTGGAAAATTCACAAGTCTCTGTATACAGAGCTGTCAGCTCAATAGGCATTGCACTTCAAAGCCCCTTAACATTGGGCATTGAAATTATTTTAATGAAAGACTTCACTAAATATAAGATATCAGTGACATAAGTAGTATCATAAGTTCTCCACGTTCAGGTGTTTGAATTTGTTCTTCAGCCTTGAGAAAAAAATCATTTCCAGTCCTTTCAAGGGCAGACAATAGGTGATGCAGGCAATAAAGAACTCCCCGTTTGTTTATTCTTCCATTATTGCTTGATATCATGACTGAGCAATATAACGAATGAGGTGGGAAGAGCAGGAATAAAAATAAAATGTTTTTACAAGGTTAGCAGTCAAATAAAGATCAGCTTTGGGTTTCAAGAGACACAAGTGACATGCCCAAGCTTTGATTCACCCGTTGCTCAGCGAAGAGGTTTCAGCAACTCTTTGCAAATAACGGTAATTCCTTTGAAATTCTTTTGCTTTCAAGAAATAACCAAGCAAAAATAATAATACACCAAGGTGTGAGCTGACAAGGCTGGCACGGAGGAGGGGACAGCAACCTGTGTCCCTAAAAAGGGACATGGTGTCACAGCAAGATCCTAGAGCAGCTACAGAGCTTCCCTAAAGCCTCTCAGCTGCTGGGGCTGTGTCAGTTCAGCCCAGCACCCAGGAGGGAGCTCAGCCCTGATGGGAGCAGAGGGAGGTGCCAAGTACCCGATGGGCGCAAGGGCTCTGAGGTCCACCTCCTGCTGTGGGTGTGGAGGGGAATTTGGAGGCACTCAGCCGTGGGGTGACTGTGCCCAGCAGAGGCTGGTGAGATCTGTCATCGCCTACAGATGGAGGAAAGCCAAAACAAAGCCCTTTGGAAAGCCCAGAGATTTCTGGGCCACCGCAGGTCCCTCGGAGGGAGGGACACACTGTCCCTGTTTCATACAACACTTTGTCTGCGTCTTGAGGTGGCAACAAGACCTGTGGCTCCAGTGGTCCGAGGGCAATGCCAGCCCTGCCAGAGCTCTGCCCACCCTGCCAGCACTGTGTCACAGCCTGCTCGTGGGCTTTGTGCTGGGGCAGCAGCACATGCCTCTGTCCCTCCTGCACATCACTCTGTGGGCTGCCTCCTCCCCGCACAGCCAAGGAGAGCAGAAACCATCCTCCGTGACCACATATGGCAATTTAAACCCCAGCCACCCCATGAGAACCTGGCCCTGCACCACAACCTGCCAGCTTAGCGAGAAGGAGACAGTCAAGGCTACTGCAGCTCACTGAAGGACAAGGGTACAATACCTTATTGCTGGTTTCCCAGCAGTTCCCTTTAAAGAAAATGCATTTCTGCCTGCCTCCACCCAGCTGCCTTTGTACCATTCTGACCTTGTCTAGGAAGTTGTTGACTTCAACATTGTGCTCCAGTGTTTATTTATACAAATGCAACATGCACTCAAACAAAAACTCTTCATGGACCAAGCTTGACAGCCAAGTGCTACTGATAAGCTCAAGGAATGGTGACTTGGTGCCTATCGTGAGCGCTGCTTGGAGAGCCCAAAAAATTCAGAGCCAGCAGGGCAGGTCCTTCTGAGGGAGCACAAAGCTGCCAGAGACCTTGTTTCACCTCTTTTTCGAAGGTGGAAATGAAACCACAATGTTTCACAGGGAAAAAAAGAAGCAGCTTCTGAATTTAATCATGACTTTTCTGTCCCCCTTACACTGGGGGGACCTGGTGTGCCTAGGAAAGAGGTTGCAGCAAACATGCTGAGATACCTGAGCTCAGTTCCTGAAAGTGAGCAGGTCTGAGGCTTAGAACCAAAGGCAGCAGCATCCTCTGAGATTTGCCTTTGTAGTAGGGCTCTGGGCAAACCTGCACCTTGGATGAGGGAGCAGCAGGAACTGATGGCCAGGAAAAAACACAAGGTGGATGAATGCTGCACAGCTCTATTGTCCTATTAGATTGTCCCAGGGCTGAGATCATTCATATCTCCACCTTTCCCACAGTTCATTGCAAACTGCAAAAATAAGGACTGGCTGAAAAAATTCCCCCTTAGCCAAACCAATAAAACTCTGCTCCAGGTTAGTCCTTCAGCTCTGGATGGGGTGGGAGCTGCTCAGCACAGGGTGGGTGGTTGCTGCCTCTGCACCGCCCCGTGCTGCCTCATGTGGGACAGCTCTGCTCCTCACACCAGGGAATTGCTCCTGCAAGGATGGAGCTTTCTACCTAGGTTTTGGACTGAGAGAGGATAGATTTAGATTAGATACTAGGCAGAAATTATTTTCTTTGAGGGTGGTGAGCCACTGGAACTGGTTGTTCCAAGAAGTTGTGGATGCTCCATCCCTGGAGGAGTTCAAGGCCAGCTTGGATGGGGCTTTGAGCAACCTGGTCTAGTGAAAAGTGTTCCTGCCCATGGCAGGGGGGTTGGAACTCTATAATCTTTAAGGTCCCTTCCAACCCAGATCACTGATTCTGTGATTCTGTCATTCTGTAACCTCCACTGACTGCTCCTGGATGCTACAAGTGATCTGACTTTTTGGACCAGGTCTAAGGGATCATCATGTGGAACACGACAAGAGACTTTGGCTGGAAAAGATCCCACCTAAAATAAAATGCTGCTTCCGTCCTCCTCTAAGCTAAATCCTTTCTGCCAAAAGCCACACTGCATTGATTCCACGTACAAGCAGCAGCAAAACAGCTGCTCTGGCTGCATAGAGGATTTGTCCTTATCTCAAAAAACCAAAAAGAAACAAAAAATGACCTGGCAACTGCTACCATTGCTCGCCCTCTACCAGGCACAAGCAGGGTCAGCACCAGCAGGCTGCAGGGCATCATTCCTGGGCCACGGCATGCTCTCCGGGGCTCTCAGCAGGACTTTGCTTTGTGGAAACAGAAGTCAGAATAACTCCCAGCATGGTGTCTACTTACAGAACAAAGGTCATAACGTAAAGGACCAAAGGAACCATTTTTCCTTCTCTGGTCTGTATTTCACTGCCTTGTGAAAGAGCTGATTTTGAGACCCGGTGTGTCACCATGCTCACTGCTCCGCTCCCACCCAGCCCCTGCGGGCCAGGCCATCAGCAGGGGTGACATCCTCCACCATGGGGGCAGAAACACCCCAAGGCAAAGGGGTGAAGATCATTCCCTTGCTGGTGGATTTCCAGGGTATGCCTGACACCATCATCACCAGTGGATCCCCCCATCCTCTGACGGGGCAGAGCTTGTTGCAACAGGACATTGCAAACCCATGGGAAAATCCAAGATTTTGAAACGTTTTGTTCCAAAGTCAGGATGGAAAGTCAAAATTGCAGCCCCTTTCCTAACCCATACAACAAAATCCCCTGTAGTATTTCCACTGTACTGAAAGGTTTCCCAGGGATAAGAACCAGCTCTTTTGTTTGGGCTTTATCATTATTGTACTGATAATAAATAAAATTTAGAGGCATGTTGGTAATTCCCACTAAAATCTTCTCATCCCTGGGCATCAGTCTTAATTTTGTGAACCAATGTTCTCCACCAGAAAGCTCTGTTGAAGTGCAGTCAGCTTAAAGCTCTCTCCCTTCCCATGCACCAAAATAAAATACAAAACAAATACAAAAAATAAAAAATCCTGAACAGCATCGAGACCTCTCCAATTCCTTTGGGGAAAAACTCTTAAAAAAAAAAAAAAAAAACAAACCTGGAAATTCATCCAGTGCTGCGTTCTGATGCCAAAATGCAAAGCTGGATTTAAACTGGTTTGCACTCAGCTTTCTCTGCACGGAATGGATGTGCTCTGGAGAAAGCAGCAGCCTGACTCCGAGATTTGCAGCACAGCAGAGACCAGAGCCCACTGCCAGGGTGCAGGTTTAACATCATTGCGTTAAAGAAGACCAGGAGGGGTTTGGTGAGACAGGCAAATCCTGCTGGGTAACGCTAAATGAGTCACAGAAATGCCTCGATTTTGATGTGGTGAACAAACCAGTATGATTTTCCATGGAGCTGCTGCTCGTTTCATTTTGCAAATCCAGAGCTACGTTTCCGGGGTCAGAATCAGAATGAAATCTCTTGCTCAATCGCAACGGGGTTTTTTTGTTTGTTTTTAAAGGTTTTCTTACACAAAATTTGTCAGTGTTGGTGGTTTATTGCTGATAATTTCTTTTGCAAAACACACACACACAAAAATAACTGCAGGAATACACCCTGAGTGAAAGCAAAAGGAGCTCCCAGCTGTTCCCCAGCACAGCTCCAACAAACATCCTGTTTGTAATGACGGCTTCTGATGACAGGCTCCAAAACCAAAACTGTTACCACCAAATTTAAACATCTCAAAGTAACTCTACAAAAAAAAAATAATCGGGGACGCCTTTCCTCTCCCACGATGGGATCCCAGCTGGAGAAAGCCAAATATCACATTGAAGGGGGAATTAAAGTTTTAACCTGCAGAGAAATTGGGAGCTACCAACCCCAAAATTTCTCCCTTAGGTGGAAGGGTGAAGGCAAGTGGGTGAACTGGGCCCCATCCTGCCCCCATCATGAGGAGCCACAAACCTCGGCCAGCTTAGGATCAGCCCTGTATCCTGCCTAGTGTGTCTGCACGAGTAACTAGGAAATAATATTAGTAATTACAGAATAAAAAGCAACATGCCACTGGGGGAACAGAGCCAGGGAAGCCCCTGGAGCCCTGGACCAGGGGCAGGGCTGATCAGCCTCCATTCGGCTATGGTGCAATCCCTCTGTGCCGGGCCAGCGCCGGCGCCTGCTGCCCTGTCTCCGTGCTGCCCACCAGCCAGCAACCCCTCCAACTTCTCTCCATTCCCCCTGACCAGAGCCAGCTCTGCGTGCCAACAAGGGGCTCCTGCCAGCGCTGGTGGCATTACACTTGTAGGGGGACCAAGGGTCAAACAGGCCCTAACAGAAGTACAGAGACCCCACCAGCGCGTGGACCACGATAGTCCCTCATTTCCCACCCTCCAGCCCCCAGCTCCCACCCTCCAGCCACCACCGGGGTGGAGCAGGGGATCGCTGTGGATTTTCCTTCTCTTACCAGCCTCTTCTGCGGCTTGAGCGGGCCGGGTGATCCCCTCATTTTTTTGGA